TCAACCAGTCCTTGGTCGTCGCCCATCGTTCTGGTACGTAAAAAAGACGGTTCCGTACGATTTTGTGTCGATTACCGAGCACTCAGTAAGATCACTAGGAAGGACGTATACCCCATGCCACGCATCGACGACGCCCTAGATTCCTTACAGGGTGCTGAATACTTTTCGAGCCTCGACTTGCGTTCCGGCTATTGGCAAATCCCCATGCACGAAGATGATAAAGAAAAAACTGCGTTTGCAACCCCGGACGGCCTATACGAATTCAATGTCATGCCGTTCGGTCTATGCAATGCGCCCTCCACTTTTGAGCGCATGATTGACACCGTGCTGCGTGGCCTGAAATGGAAGACTTGCCTATGTTATCTCGATGACATTGTTGTCTTTTCATCAACGTTTCCTCAACATCTGCAACGCTTGGACGAGGTCCTGACTTGTCTTGCGGGCGCTGGTCTTCAAATTAACACTAAAAGTGTCATTTCGCCAGCAGATCTATCAAGCTACTCGGTCATGTTGTGAGCAAGGACGGAATTCGTCCAGACCCTGATAAAACTGCTGCAGTGCTTCGCTTCCCTCGCCCTGACAAACCGAAAGATTTGCGAAGTTTCCTTGGTCTCGCCTCTTAATTTCGGCGATTCATACAAAACTTTGCCTCCATAGCCGCACCATTTCATAAGCTGCTTGCGTCCGGTATGCCCTTTCAGTGGTCTCAGGAATGTGAATCGGCTTTTGACAGGTTGAAGGGTGCCCTCACGACCGACCCTGTACTTGCTCATTTTCACGATGATGCACCAACCTTCCTGCACACAGACGCTAGCAGCCTCGGTTTAGGAGCCGTGCTCCTGCAACGCGACAACTCTTCGCGAGAGCGAGTCGTTGCATACGCCAGCCGCGTCCTCTCCACAGCCCAGAGGAACTACACGATCACCGAGCAGGAGTGCCTCGCCATCGTTTGGTCAGTACAGAAATTTTGTCCATATCTACATGGCCGCCATTTCACCATTGTGACCGACCACCACGCTTTATGTTGGCTTTCGACACTCAAGAACTTGTCGGGACGCCTCGGACGCTGGATTTTACGCCTCCAAGAATATGATTTTGAGATCGTGTACAAGTGCGGCAGGAAGCATAGTGACGCCGATGCTCTTTCTCGCTGCCCACTACCAGCGACTTCACTCGGGGTTTCCGCCATCAATTTGCAGAACACGCCCTCGGAGTCCACGTCTACGGTGGTTTCCTCTCTCGCCTCTATGGACCAGCTGCCTTCGGACGACCGCCATGATTTTCCTTCTCGACAGTTGGCTGACCCATACTGTCGACGTATTATAGGCTACCTCACTAGCAGTTCCCGTCCACCTAATGCAAAGCTCCGTCGCCAACTCTCGCAATTTAAGCTGGACAACTCGGGGCTGTGCCGCAAAATTTACCATCCTGACGGTCAGCGCTGGGTTCCCGTTCTACCCCGATCGCTTCGGTCCGAAGTCCTCAGGGCGCTTTACGACCATCCGACTGCTGGTCACCTTGGTTACCATAAAACCTACGATCGCCTTCGAAGTCGGTTTTATTGGCCAGGCATTACCACTAGTGTAGCTCGGTACGTCGGGTCCTGCACTACCTGCCAATGTAGAAAACTACCAACATCTGCTCCTGCCGGTACACTACAGCCTCTTTCGTGCCCAGCCACACCATTCGAAGTTGTAGGCGTCGATCTTTATGTCCCCCTCCCAGTCAGTGCTGCTGGAAACCAGTGGATTGTAACAGCCGTTGACCATTTGACGCGCTACGCCGAGACGGCATCCGTTACTACTGGTTCTGCTTCTGAGATTGCTGATTTCACCCTCCGAGCCATTATACTGCGTCATGGTGCTCCACGTGTGTTGCTCAGAGACCGTGGAAGGGCCTTCCTTTCACAACTAGTGAACGAACTTCACGCCTCCGGCACAACTCACAAGACTGCCTCTAGTTATCATCCCCAGACTGACGGCCTCACTGAGCGATTCCACCGCACTCTTGCTGACATGATCGCCGCCTATATTCAACCAGACCACAAAAACTGGGACGTTGTTCTACCATTCGTCACTTTCGCCTACAATACGGCCATTCAGCGGACAACCGGCTACTCGCCATTTTACCTAGTTTATGGACGCTCCCCTACTTCTTTCCTGGACGTCTCTTTCTTTACCTGCCAAGCGAATTCATCTCCATCCTCTTCAGAGGAATACGTTTCACGACTCGCACACTGCCGCCAACGTGCTCGTATAAACACTGAAGCCCGCCAGCAAGACAGAAAGCTAGTTTATGATCAATCGCATCGTGCTGTATCCTTCAAACCTGGAGACGAAGTGCTCCTTTTGACGCCTGTTCGCACACCTAGCTTGTGTGACAAATTTCAGCCTCGGTTTATCGGGCCGTACACAGTTCTTGAAGAAACTTCACCAGTGAATTATCGCGTGACGCCACTTGTAGCCCCAGAAGATCGCCGTTATCGAACTACAGAGGTTGTCCGTGTCTCTCGTATGAAGCCCTTCATGCGATGTTCTTTGTCCCCTTGACTTGCCGCGGCCAGGCTGGCCGCTTTCACGTGGGGGGAATTGGTGTGGGCATTTAGTATACGCATCCTCTTCACCGGTACATTATCATCATTATCATGTGTGGCTCATGCATCCTCATCGTTGTCGCGTAGCATCATCATCGTGGCTCATTCATCGTAGCTGTCGGCTGCCGGTTCCTCGGGCCTAATAAAAGGTAATCCTAACCAAGACTTCATAATTAATAGAGAGAGAGAGATAGGAGAAAACAGAGAGAGAGGAGAAGAGAGAGGGGAGGGAGAGAATGAAATAGGGAATAACGACTTTCATTGGTTTGGCACTGTATATTTTATATACAGGGGATTAATTTGAACGGTGCCGAGAACAGGACGCGAACTCCAATACGTCATCAGCCTCACCAAATCTACAAACCCCCTGAAAACGCAGTTATCAACGGAATGCAGAGTTCAACATAGAAACAGGTACGCGGCCCGCTCCCGGGAAGTTGTCTATAGGACCCCCCTTTCATGCGGTGCTTGTTATGTCGGAACGACCGGAAAGTGTCTGAACGATCAGCTGAGAGAACACGCTAACAATGTTAGAAACGGGAAAGATGGTTTTCTTGCTCAGCACTGCACTGAGTGCAATTGTGTTCCCCTCTTCAAGGACACAGCGATGCTGTACAAGCACAGAGATGAAAGCACCTGAGTCATTGTCGAGGCCGCGCAGATAGCACGCGAACAGGTGCCTTGTATTAGAAGCCCTCCGTGGCTCTGTCCGAGAAGGAACTCAGGTTCCTCGAAGGTTTCGGTGCGCGCAAGCAGTTATATTATGTTTACTTTTCTGTTTCGTTTTCTTGTAAATTTTTCTTTGCCGTTTTTTTGTGCTTTTGTTTTCTGTCTTTGTTTTTCTCTTGCTCATGTTCTGTTCTTTGTGCCATATGGTTTTCATCACATGGTTTCTGTCTCCTCTACATGTTTTCGTGCTCTGCGCAGTAAACTAAGTTGGAAGTTAGCGCTCGTGTCTTTCGTGTCCTTCTTGTCTCTGTGTCGTCGTTTTGTTTTCGCGGTATAACTATCATCATGCCATAACAACTAGCCCAAGCTGCCACACTTCTAAGTACCAATGCCACCAAGAAAAGTTTTCTAGGTGGCATTGGCTGTACTCAGATATCGGCAAACAGAGCGTTGGTAGTCGATAAAGTGATCTCCGGCAAGGCACTTCGGCATTTATAGATGCGGCAGCGAACATTCGACCATTATCACTGATAACCATGTTAGTTCGAAAATGAACTCCGCAGTTCCCGCTTGCGTGCTCAAGCATAACAGATGTATCGATAGATTATTGAGGTCTTGAAGGGTTGCACCGCCGTTTTGTATGAAGAGGATCACAGGCTGCTCTCAAGTATGGACGGAGAGGTAGTATTACCACCGCTGGATGATTTTCAAATAATCTGGAATGCTCTCAGATATTCTGGCCCGGTTTTCATAAGGTATTAGCTGCACGTGCATTCGCACGTTATCTACACGTGCATTCTGCACTGTCAGCCGCATTTTCTTGTTCTTGGTGTCCACTGAAGGCCTTAAAAATGATTGAGTTATTCTTCTTACCTCATTTGATACCATGCCATAACAGATCACCTTTTTCTCTTCAATGAATCTATTAGTTCCCCTTATCTTCTAATCAGTTGTCTTTTGTTTTAAATGTAGCGTCTTGGAGCAAAATATTGACGCGAGATTTTAGCTCAAAGCCGAAAAACAACCAGAGGCTGGATGAAGTGGGAATGTCGGCCTCTTACTGTCACGCTTTATATTCGAGCTTTGCCCTATACAACATCATGTCCTTCAAACTCGTTGAAGAAAAACTTCGTGTGGAAGGAATGCCAAAGCCACTAAGACACTAATGATCGAAACAGACTGATTATGCCGATGTATGTTTCAGTAACAATTGTTGACGCAGCACGGGTTTAATGTATCGGGCTCCGTTTTATTCAAATAGATGCGGGGTCTGCCTCATTTCATAATCAAAACTCCATTTTCGAGTTAAAAGCAATTTCCTTATTTTAATTACAACTGTGTTGAAAGCGAAATATAGCTGAGCATGCTTTACACTATAAAAGTTAGCCCAGCTTCGGTTCCTGGATTTGGCATTGAAATAGGAAAAAAATGCCATATATCGTTCATCATAAATTTGCCTGTGACAACTCGAACGCAAAAGCTGTCTGCTTTACTATCTTTTCTATTGTGAGTCAAATGCAATACTCCCCCCCCCCCCCCCCCCCCTTTGGAGACTTTCTGCAGCCAATGTGGTTTCGCAGTGTACCCGGGAACGGGCCACCTTTAAAACTATGACGATGTCGCGTGATGTCGTGGTAGTGGCGTACCTAGCTTCACTTCACATCACTCAAGTTCACGTCGACGGTCACTATTCACGTTTGATGAGGCACTTAAGCCTTCCACCTTGAAACTTCTCCAGGGCTGCTCCGGCGTCATCGCATGAGGCCGTCAAGTGGAACGAGGAGAACGTCAAGAGCACTCTGCACCCGCAGGACAAAGACTATGGCCTGGTCAAAGTGTCCGAGCCCAAGACGCCGTACATCTACAACGCAACCAAGGAAAATGGCCCCGTCAGCGCCCAGGACTTGGCGCAAAGGTACGCGCACATTCGCCGTTTCCCTGAAAAGTTGATTATAGGGCGACAACTTATTCCTATCAGTGGCGCAGCCAGGGGGTGGCACACCCATGTTAGCTACGAGCACTATTAAGCTTGAAGTGATGTAGCAAGTGCCACCAGCCGTGTGCACCATCACGCCTTTGCCCTCATTGTGTGCCGAAAATACTATTGTAATGTGTGGAAACTAAACCGTCACGTTTTTGTTCGTGACCATTTCTTGAGTTGCCAAATTTTGTGTTGCGATAACTTTGCTTCGTGCTGGAGCATCTTGTGATGGCGTATGAAACTCTCTTGTTAGCACGAAGATGTATGTATTTGAACACCATTTTAGATGAGTTACGGAGTTGACCTGCAATCCTGTTTAAATATATATATATATATATATATATATATATATATATATATATATATATATATATATATATATATATATATATATATAATATATATATATAATGTTTTGTTTGGGTCTAGATTACAAAAGTTAAAATTTTAATTTCTCATTGTGTTCGTCATCCCCCTCCATCTCTCGGTCAGGTGGGTCTACGCTTTGCTAGAAAAAAAAAACTCGTCACTTTATTGATATCATGTGTGAACGGTTAGATAAGTTAGTTTAATGATTTATTTATAGGCCGAGAATTTTCTCCTTATGATTAAACGATGCAGGCATCAGTGGTGTGCCGCAGTCGATCCAGACATTCAGATTTCAACTCTTGATCGAATGAGCAGAGATTGATTGACTCATTGATTGATTGAGACCACTTGACAACTAAGTGACTTGTTGGTGACCTTACACTATACTTATCCCATAGAGCAAGAATGTTTATATAAACATTGACTTCACGAACATCACATGACGGCACATCACGCACTGAAATGATTCCTTAACTATTCATGCATATTTCGGCGCATGAAAATTCCGAAATACGCTGGCATATTTTGTAACTCGGGAGTTGTTGTTGTAAAAAGCTTTAACACTAATTCACATAGCATGCAGAGATTATTACGGAATGCACATAGTGAATATACCCCTATTTTTTTATTTTTTTGGCCACACGTGACATACTCAGCCTTAAACAGAATATGCCAGCGTAATTTGGGATTCATATGCATAGAAACAATATGTGCATGCATAGTTATGTAATGACTTGAGTGCATAATGTGTTGGCGTGTGGCATTCGTGAAGTCAATGTTCACATTAACATTCTTGCTGTATGTCGTAAGTATAGCGCAAGGTCACCAGCCAGTGACTGAGTTCAATCAATAAATCAACGAATCAATCAATCAATTTCTGCTTATTCTATCCAGACATCAATGCGACATGTGTGGACTGGCTGCTGCATACCATTGATGCCTGCATCGTTGCACCATAAAAAGGAAATTTTCGTGGCTATAAATAAATTATTGAATTAACTAGCCAATCTAACCTATGCTTCTTGGTTCCCTGCGCAGATCCTATAGGCTACAGGTAGCATAACCGATAGTGATCATACTTCTATGGGTTCATGGGCCGAAAGAGTGATATCACCCCGCCTCAGTGGTCTAGTGGCTAAGGTACTGGGCTGCTGACCTGCAGGTCGCGGGATCGAATCCCGGCTGCGCGCCGGCTGCATTTCCGGTGGAGGCGGAAATGTTGCAGGCCCGTGTGCTCAGATTTGGGTGCACATTAAAGAATCCCAGGTGGTCAAAATTTCCGGAGCCCTCCACTACGGCGTCTCTCATAATCATATGGTGGTTTTGGGACGTTAAACCTCACATATCAATCAATCAACAAAATCGTGATATCTTTATAAGGCACGCGGAAGAGAGCCACTTCAACTTTTCGGCGTCCACCAAAACCTATAAACTGACGGGTAATCTTGCACTTCATGTCCTTCGAAATGGGGTGACTTTGTCCGGGAATCAAAACCGCGTCCTAGATCTCAGCATTGCCACAGCTTTACTGATAAGCAACTACGGCACGTAATCATATAACCGTTCGTGCGGCTACTTGTATGTACGTTCACTGAAGCAGTCACGCAAGAGAGTGCATGACACCTGTCATCATCAGCAGCAGCAACCTGACCACGCCCACTGCAGGACTAAGGTCCATCCCATGTCCGCTTGTCAAGCCGGTGCTGCGCATTCTGCGGCCAGGTTATATCTGAAAATGTCATCCTATCTGCCCACCTAATTTCTTATCTGCATTTCACGCGTTTGCCTTCTCTTCTAATCCAGTGAGTTACTCCTAATGACCAGTGATTATGATGCCTGCATGCTACGTAGCCGGCCCTTGTCGATATTTTCTTGATTTCAACAATTATATCCTTAAACTCCGTTTGTTCTTTGACCCCCTGTGCTCTCATCCTATCAATTAAAGTTGAATTCCATACAGTTGATGACAGCTGTATGGAACCAGCTGACTCCTTCCTCTCTCTCTCTGTCATGCAGAATAGAAGCCAGCCGCTTCCAGACGCCTGACGCGGCTCGGGCTCAGCGGGAGGAGGATGCGAAAATGTCAGCAGCGGAGAGAGGTATGCGTTCCGTTTTTCAAACGGAGTACACGTGTTCAATTAGATACGCGAAGAGTTTTGCATTTATTACACAAGACAGTCCAGGCCTGAGCTCTCAGAGGCCATTTGGAAGAATTGCGTGGTTGATATCGGCTCCAACAGGTGCCGCAAGGGTCGCAAATGCTTACGAGTATCTGCCGTTTTAAAGTTTTGTAAAGGAACAAACATCCTTATCAATCAAAGTTGAACACTCCATTGGTATTGATGACCTCATAGAAGCTCATGTTCAGAAATACACAAAAAGAATTTTCTGTTATTAGCAAATTAATCTCTCACGATGCGAGCAAGACTACGCTTGCTAAGAGACTACAAACGTAACAAGCGCGAAAACGCGCAATAAGACAATTAGGGTGGCGGCGCCATCTTGAAGTTTCGCACAAGTAGTCGTGACGTCGTGTGAATTGGGCGTACGCAGCTCCTAACTGGTAAAAGAAACGTGGATTGTCGTTTGAGAGCGAAATAAATTAGCAGAGCACGTTTCAGGAAATTTTCTTCAGAATATGTCACCGAAAACACGAAAACTGCTATTGTAAATTCGTGAAATCACGCGTGATGTTTTGTTGCGAAAATTAAAACTTTGACCTTGATTTTTCTTTAATAGTCAGATTGTGAAATTGTGATCTACGACGTGACTGTTATCAGAGAACATTTTATTAATATCAAGTGACCCACTTATACATTCTGTGTCCCTTTAAAGCTTAATTAGAAAATTTATTCTTATTATTTACATCATGATTTGTCGTCTTATATGGTCTCGTTTATTGAAATGAATGTTCTAGTTTTAACAGCTTGAATACTGGCGAGGCGCTCATCTTAGATGAGCTTGGCCCTGTACACGCACCACTGCATAAATTGCTTATACACTGACGTCACTAAATCAGAAACGTTGGAGCACCAATGTGGTGGGATGAGAACTTTGTGATGTCACGTTGTTGTGTTATCAGTACATGGCATACTGGTACCTTCGTTATTACGGCGACAGCCTTTGATGCACCGTCAAAGGCGTATGTTTGTCGTCGGCGGGCCGCAGCATCGTGTGCGAGCGATGCGAAAAATCATCAACACCAGAGGACTCAACCATAAAACGTCATGGATCGTTAAAAAATGTGGTGTCAATGTGACGTCATTCACGCGGTGACGTAATCACGTGACATCTATCGAAGGTAGTCCAATCATGAAGGCAACGCGAAACCAGGTCAGCTCACTCCGATCTTTGAGTTATGCGGCAGAATCACGTTAGGTACAGAATGATTTCCAGGGGGGAGGGCGTCACGATTAGCACGTCATCCCGGGTGAAAAAGAAGATGACATCTTCCGAGTTCTGTTAAGTGAATGTTTGAGGAGCTCTGCGAGCTTTCTGTGCACAGATGCCAAATAGTGTTCTAGTGGCGTCGTTATAACATTCAAACAGGTAATTCGACACGTTACTACGGTGCCTTGGCGACGTCTAAGCCGTCATATATATGCTGTGCGTCCATGTCGTCACGTGCAAGCTTTAAAAACTCATGTTTTGTCGTCTTTTTGTGCCCGAAAAGGCACACATGCACGTATGCTGAAATCGCGCCAATGCATTCGTGAATTTTTGCTAATCCATGTTGCGCGCGAAATGCTTTCGTAGAACGCCAACTGGAATTCGAGAGAAAGAGGAAGATTCACTACGATGAGTTCCTTGCCGTAAAGAAAGTGCAGGACAAGATAAAAAAGGGCGAGTGTGAGGAGAAGGCCGAGGACGAGGTGGACCAGGAAGAGACCAAGAAGCAGGCTGAGGCCCAGGTGGAAGAGGCCAAGGCGGAAGCGGCTGTGGCCGAGGCTGAAGCAGCGGCTGCGGCAAAGGCGGCGTCAGCTGGAAAGTTGGTGCGAAAACTGGCCGAGGACGACAAAAAGAAGTGACATGGCCCGGCTGTCGAGTCGGCTCATAATGCTTGGGTAATGAAGAACGTGAGTTGAACATAGTGCCGATTATTATATTAGTGTATTTTAGCAAGGTACGAAAGTATTGCATGATATTACGTTCTAAGGAGAAAAAAAAGAGAGAGAGTATGTGTGATTTCTTTTGGTGAATCCTGAGCTGACGCGTATACAGCAATCTTCAAAGTGGCACGTCAATTGTTTTGAGGGTCCCGCGACTCTGCGAAGAGAGTATGGCGATCTCCAAAAAGAGTATATGCATATGATACAGAGAGAGTCATATGCGTACAAGCTAGAACTGCCGAAAAACAGCCATAAGTTTTTTTTTTTACATGCATCTTATGAGCGACCATGATCCGGTGGCGTCCGCGCTACACTATGCATGCGCCTACTCTCCCCCCTTTCGCGTCAGCGTGGGGAGGTGAAAAGAACCTTTAAGTGCTAACCACTGGCACGCGCATGCTCGCGTCTGCGCGTCAAAAGCGTAAAATGCGCCTCTCGGCGTCGGCGTTAGAGAGCATACGCGAGGAGGCGCAAGGGATCAAGCCGGGCTTGATATTTTTGCCACGCGTAGGCTAGGTCACCACGCGTACAGCGGCGCCAACCAACCTGGGGCCGCGATGCCTCCGAATGTTATGCCTAATGGCCGCCGCTTCGAAGGCACGGCCGAGTGCTGCAAGCAAGCACGGAAACTACTCCAAACGTTCCTGAATGACCGCTTCGTAATCTAGAACGAAACGACGAACGACTGCGAAAGCTGCTAGCGTGACGCGGTTTCGTGCCGGGTTCGAGCGACGCTGACAAATCCAGCGAATGCCGGCTGGCTATGCATGCGCCGGTCCAGAGTGCGATCGTCGGCCGAGTGAAAACACCACAGAGACTACTGAACCATGTCGGTGTTCTTGTGCTTTGATCTGTGATTTTCTGTGCTAAAAACGAGTGTAAACAGACTTCGGAGGTTCGAAGCTTTTAGCGTGAGCCCTCGCCTACCGCGGAGGCAATTCATAGCGGTGTCATCTGCATCCAGCGTAGGGCTCTGCCGTCTAGTTCGTATGCACCAGCACATGCCAGGAACATAGGCTGAAAAAGAATCAACTGTAGTTTCCGTCGCAACATAGACACCATATGCGACGCCCAAAACACCGCGTAGTGCATACGGAGGAGTTTTTATCTACACTGTGTTTGTTTTCAACATCGCTGAAAGCGAACCTTGCACTAGCCAGCACATTTCGGTGATGTGAGATCGTACGTTCTTATATAAGTGTATTCTCGAAACGTATGACACTGAAACATTCGTTGGCTTCGGTGCAAATCGTTTTCGTGTGTTGTAACAAGCGTGCGCTGGTTGGTAGCAGTGTGATGTGATTTCGTGTCGGGTACCAGCGACATTGACGCATTCATCTGTCAGCGGTCTCATGTCCATTCATGTACAAGATAGAAACTCGAGCGTGCGTTGCTGTGGTGATCGAAAAAGAAAGTTGCATGATTACGAGCTGCTGGTATTGCCTGCTATTTCACTTCTTGCTTGTTCTGCTTCTCTGCCATGCTTAGTAGCACGTGCGTTGTTTGGAGGAATTTTAACACACATTCTTAAATTATAGTTCATTCTGATACTCATAGCTATAGGCATACAATGGCACCTCTCCGTCGTTTTACAGTTTACTATATTATAACACGCGTTTTGTTTACAGCTGGACAGATAACTGAAAACCTTGTGAAAAGCACTTGATTTGAAATCAGCGGCACGATGACACGATAGTGGGAAGAGAAGGTCACCACAGGTATGCACAGATTGAATGAAGGTGCACTAGTACTGTACTGCACTTTGTATAGAAGAAATGCAAAAAGTACTTCATGTGACTTATGAGACCTTTCAGAACTGTGCATGTATTTATCTGTTCCTCCAGACTGTAATCAGCTGAAGATATTATAAGATGGTTTCGAACATTGAATCTTTGTATGTACTTCCAAAGACTGCTTCATTTCTGTTCAGTTTTTTAGTATACGCATGAAGTTGGACAATGTATGCATTCATTTAAGCATATTCAAAATATCAAAATATTCAGCTTAGCTATGTCAGAAAACTTGCCAAAACTTCTCTAGGGTGCTCTGGCGCAATCCTATGACCGGTATCTTTCCCATCAAGAGTTTTGGGAATGCTTTATTGCATCATAGGGTATTTTGACTATTGATGCCACGTGAACGCCTTCTACACAGTGCCTGGCTGAAATCTCAAAACCAATGTCTGTCTGATTAAAAAGTGTCTGATGCATTTTGTAGAGGTTAAAGGATATTTAAACTATCAGCAAAGTGCAGAAACCTTCAATACAGCACTGATCGACAATCACAATGCAGCTTAGAAGCCATTCGTAGTGCCCTCTAACACAATCAAATAAAGTTATCAAACACTGGAATGATGTCCTTGGTTTGGTTCGTGATACCAGTGTGTCTGACATTTTGGAGGCACTTGTATCATAATAATGTTCTATTTCTCTCATTTCTTACCGGGGTGCATTCAGGGGGTAGTGATATTTGTTTACGTTGGCACACTTATTGCGATAATACTGCTTCAATGCTTTCATTTAGTATATATGTACACCACTCCTGCAGTAGCCTCACATTGGGCTGTCGTATTTGAAAATAAATAAATATACCATCCGAAAGTGTTCTACGCTGTGCTCGCTTCCAATCTGATTACTAATATCTGTTGCATCATGAAGTGTCGGGTTTGTTTTATTGCATTGGAGAACATTTTGGCTGCCTTTCATACAGGGTTCAGTTACAGTATTATGACCGATATTTGTGACTTTATGAAGAGTTGAGTGCGGTTTGTCATTTTAGAGAATACTTTAACTACAGACAACCTCCAGAAGCCTTCCATACAGGGTTCGCTTGCAGTCCTATGACCAATATCTGTCTTATCATGAAAGTTTCAGATGCAGTTAGTTTTGTTAAAGCATATTTTGACTACAAAAATGCCCAAAGACATTCTACGTGGTGCCTGGTTTCATTCTTGTGACCAGTATTTGTTGTATCATTAAGAGCCAGGTGCGGTTTCTTGCATTAGAGGATATTTCCAATTCCAATATGATTATCATCCGACAGCCCTGCACACAGGGCAGAATTAAAGCCTCATGACCTAAATCTAGCACATCATGAAGAGTAGGGTGTGGGTATTTGCATTGGAGGACATTTCGGCTGCAGACAAAGTTCAAAAGCCTATACAGGGTTCAGTTCCAATATTATGACCAAAATCTGTGACTTCATGAACAGTTGGGTGCAGTTTGTCGCTTTACAGAATACTTTCATCGAGAACAGAATACTTTGACAAAAGACAATGTCCAGAAGTCTCCCATACAGGGTTCAGTTCCAACATTCTGACCGATACCTGTGACTTCATGAACAGTTGTGTCTGGTTTGTCGCTTTACAGAATACTTTGACTAAAGACATTGTCAAGAAGTCTTCAATACGGGGTTCAGTTCCAATATTAGGACGTGTATATGTGACTTCATGAATTGTTGGGTGTGGTTTGTCGCTTTAGAAAATACTCTTACTAAAGACAACGTCCACAAGTCTTTCATACAAGGTTCAGTTTCAATCTTTTGACTGATATCTATCACTTCATGAACAGTTCGGTGTGGTTTGTCGCTTTAGTGAATACTTTGATAAAAGACAACGTCCAGAAGTCTTCCATACAGGGTTCAGTTCCTATATTATGACCTAAATTCATCAAATCATGAAGATAGGCTGTGGGTTGCATTGGAGAAAATTTCAGCTGCAAACAACGTTCAAAAGCCTTCTATACGGAGTTCAGTTCCAATATTATGACCTACATCTGTGACTTCATGAACAGTTGGGTGTGGCTTGTCGCTTTAGAGAATACTTTGACTAAAGACAACGTCTAGAAGTCTTCCATACAGGGTTCAGTTCAAATATTATGACATATATATGTGACTTCATGAATAGTTGGGTGTGGTTTGTCGCTTTAGAGGATACTCTTACTAAAGACAACGTCCAGAAGTCTTCCATTCAAGGTTCAGTTCCACACTTTTGACTGATATCTATGACATCATGAACAGCTCGGTGTGATTTGTCGCTTCATTGAATACTTTGAGTAAAGACAACGTCCAGAAGTATTGCATACAGGGTTCAGTTTTACTATTGTGACCGATATCTGTGACTTCATGAGCAGTTGTTTGCGGTTTGTCGCGTTAGGGAATACTTTGACTAAAGACAACGTCCAGAAGTCTTCCATACAGGTGTCAGGCTCGAACTTCGTGCGTTTCCCGAATAACTTATGTTACCCACCCCGTGGCCGGCAACCCCTCGCCAACAAGGAAGCAGGGCCACCGGAATACGGGACGATGACTGTCTACTGGCCACAAAGGACGCGACAACTCCGGTGCTCCAAGGGGTGCAATTATGGCACCTTACAGGAGACCAAGCCAAGCTGCAGGTGGCCGGTACACAGGGAAGGTACACGTACGCGTCCGCCGGACAATCAGAATCACTGGAGGCGACTGCATTGGCGCACGGGCCAATTGTATTGATGGCCTGTCAGCCCGGCATCGCGGGAACTTACTCGGAGGCGCTTTTCCACAACCTGGCAACGCCCGTCGTCGATCTTTCCGGGAACCGGTGTGAAAGAAACCTGAGCGACGGCGGAGAACCGATGAATGGGCAAGGGGCGGTGGGTCTTCGAGGTTGTGGCGAGGAGAGACACATCCGTGCGTTCCGATTGGACTGTAAGAGTGGTGCATTACGATTGGACTGTAAGAGTGGTTGAATGGGGAGACAAGGAATAAAACCAGGGGTGCAGGGACTGAAAAGAAAGGAAAGAAACGAATAACGTCTCTATATCCAGATGATGTGGGAGCGGTCGTTTCATCAAGGTGCCAGCAGATGTGAAGTTCTCGTCTTCGGCTTCCTTGGCGGCAGCAGCAAATGTCGCACAACAAGCGAGAGGCGAGCGGAAAGAACC